CATCAAATTGAACGCGGGCGCTGCCTTTAAATGATTTGTTTGTTGTTTGGCAAAGTGTTTGCTTCAGTAGAAAGTGCTTCTTCTGCTCTACAGAAAGTGTTTTATTTGTTAGTATAATTTCATTTTTTTTCAGGCTTAGAAATGGAATACCCAGGAGGCAAAAATCAGCATTTTCGACACCTACTTTTCTTCGCTTTTCATCGCGGTCAAAAAGCAGCTAAAGCCGCTTTTTGTACCGAATCGTGATGGGGATGAGAAATGGTGTCTGTACGTCAATATGAAGCAAAGAAAGGAGTGGGTGCCACCAGGAGACACGCCGAAGCTTAGAGTCAAGCAGGATCTCCACCCAAAAAAGAGAATGATCTGCGTTTGGTGGGACTGGGAAGGTATATGTAAATGACGCAATTCGAATGACCCGATCGACAAGGTCAAGTCATCCTGCTCATCCTACTCTACAACAACGCCAGGCCGCATGTGCCAATTGTCTTTAACTGTCAGCCATGCTGTACCTCAAGGATTGGCGTCCAATTACCGAAAACTGCTAGCAGTCCGTGATTCATTGAAATTATTTTGACGCTATACGTTCTGAGTATTCTCCAGCGGATTTGACCATGAGCCACTGCATTCTTATTTTACGTCAGAACATGTAACATTGTCGCTGCACCCCTCATGCCGACACTGAAATGTGGCTTCCCGGATGAACAGGATGCGACTAATCCTGGCTGAAGAGTGGTCCATGTCCAGGCGCTAGCGCTCTCATTTTCAAGCTAAATTTAGATAATTTGAGTAATTCTAGCATCCTAGACACGCAATGTGATGTCATTCTTGAACGAGCCCAAATTCGAGGCTTCGGATAGTTAAGAGCAAAAAATAGCAGAATAGCTCCATTCAAGCCGTGAGATTTTGAGGTTTGCAGAAAGGTAGAGACTTCGCAAAATGTTGGCGGTGAAGTTCATGAGAAGAATAGGACAACTTCAAATATTCGACTTAGGAAAATTCCAAGAGTAAGGACAACTCGTCCACGTTATACTCGTACCTGGGGTGTCGTCGTCGACGTTCGAACGAAAGGAAACTCGTGTCTCGTCGTCTGAGCACATTCGTAATGCTCACCGGGCCGCCTGTGTGATTGACGAACGAAGTTCGGTCACTGAAAACGGCTCTGTATGAAAGTGAGTAGAACTGTCAACGAAAAAGATGATATCACACGGTCATTATGACGTTAACTGCGCAAGTAAAACAGCGTAAGAACGACAAAAGCATCGAAAATGAATTTAGCTTCTCTATAACCCAAAGTAACGAGATAATGGCGCGTATTGTCTCAGGAGGGCCTGTCTCATAATTACGCTCAAGTGTCAAGTGGACTGCTATTAGTCCCGCAAGTCTGTGAGGTGAGCAGAGGAAGTTTTACTGGTGGATAAGCCGTTTCAGAAATTCGCATTTTCACAAATTATAAGCGTGTTCACCCCTCTCCTAAAATTGCAGGCCACGTAGCAACTTATGCAAGATGTAGAGTGGCCTTCTCCACACTTAGCAATCCACCATTCTTCCCGTTCTCCACTCTTTTCGGTGTCTGCCACGTACTCCACAGGTGGCTTGTGAGTGCGTTTGACCCATAAGCTGATGCACAAGTCGCGTTTCTTTTTAGCCTCCCAAAGAGTTTGATACCCTACCTTGGAGGAATGGAAGCTTAGGTGGTAGAAGAACAATGAGCGATGCGAGCGACTCTGCTTGTCGTTACACCACCTCCACCCGTAGTAATAAGTGAGAGTTCTACTATAAAGGTAAGGGTATATGTAGGGCAGAGCTCGGGCCGTTCATATCCCTTTTTTAAGAGACGCGGCACGCGCTCCAATTGAGAATTGTAGCAGTTCATTGAAAGCGAAGCGATTTATGCAATGATTTGCGGAGGCTAGCCGATGTTCAAGCAAGTGTTGTCATACTCCTGGACCAATCTGGAGCCATTTCACCGTCTCCGGATGGCCTGGTTGGTATGTGGGTGGAGGGAGGGGGTAGTGGGTGGATGAGCCGATTAGAGATCTGGCTCCCGTCCCGCGTGGTAAGCAACGTAAGTGCCACCACACCACATTCGTCACATGGGTAATAAGTAGTGTAACTTGCATTCTTCTCTTTTCAATAAAACGCAACAAACAACTCAATGAGTAGAAGAAAAACCCCGAAAGATACAATGAGGGCTTCGAATAAAAAGTTAACGGTACCTGTCACAAGGATAAGGTGTACGGAAAAAAGGGAAACTTTGAAAGCCAGATGATATGACACGAACTCCTATACTTTCCCAGCATCACATGCATCCGTTTCAACCACAAAAAATGTGAGAAAAATCCTACTTTGTCTTCAGTGTACGTCAACCTTTATGTTATAAAAGTTATACCACAGCCCAGAATACAGCAAAGAATCGTGTCGGGAAATGACAGAGGAATCTCCAGGAACAAACGTCTGTTCGCAAACAAATTTAAGGATTACTAGAGACAAAGAACATTCAAAGCTTCC